GGTTGAGGAAGCTCATTCAACCTGAATCCTATCAGCTGAAGACTTTTCATGCTGAGGAGTCCTAGAGGTAAGACCTGGCAGTGGCTTGTTCCTTTGTCTCTCTGATCTTCTGACAAAGTTTAGTGTTGTACACAATATGTCATGAACAAGCTCATGTTAAAGAATTTCCACCTGTGCAGTGGTGGCTCATGCCTTTAATCCCAGCACTCAAGAGGCAGAAGCAGGTGGATCTCAGTGAGTTTGAGACCAGCCTGGTCTACAAAGTAAGTTCCAGCACAGCCAGGGCTGTTACACATGGAAACCCTGTCTCAAAAAAACAAACAAAAAAGACAATTTCTTCTCTTATGACCAATTTTTTATTACTTCTTTTTCAGTTAATCACTGCAGAAACTTAAACCTGCTCAGGAAATGAAAGGAAAATTTTGTTTCTCCCATGAGGTCTCACAGGATACACAAAGGACACTGAAGGGCAGGCCATATGCGCAGCAGGAGATGGCAACACAAGATGAAGTCAGTGGGGAATGATGACATTTTCTATTTGTTTGTTTCCTATTCTAGATTATTTTTATTGACTTATTTATTTTATATGTCTGTGTGTTTTTAATGAGAAGGCAAGAGAAAAGATGTGTTTTGAGGTGGATAGGAAGGTGCTGGAGATCTGGGAGGAGTGGGGGAAGGAAAACCCTGATAACAATATAGTGTATAAAAAATCTATTTTCAATAAACAACAAAATTAAAAAATGAAACCAATGATATCTTGGAAGTTTTGGGGCTTTTAATATTTTGTTTTTGCGAAATTTAGCTTATACAACATTTGCTTAGATATTATGGTTTACAATTATATTTTATATCTTTTTTATCTTTCCTTTTCATTTATGGAAAATATCTTTTTTCTTACATGATATATCCTAATTACAGTTTCTCCACTCTGTTCTTCTCCATGTTCCTCCCCATCACTCCTCCTGCTCAGATATAACTCCATTCTATCTCTCACTAGAAAACAATCAGGCTTCTAAAGAAAATTTATAAAATATAATATAATATAATATAATATAGCAGTATATCAAACAAAAACTAGCACATCAGAATAGTAGAAAACTACCATACAAGAGGAAAATTTCCCAAGAGATCACACAAAAAACAGATATA